TGCCATCTCATTGTCAATCACATAAACTCCCAAAATATACTCTTGAAATTTGCTTTAATTTTTGGGAGTTTGAACTCCTTGAAAATTCCTTCTAAACCTGACTGCTGTATTAAGCATAGGAAGAAGCTACAGAATGTTTTTACATCTGACTTTCCTTTAACCTTTTACTGCATATTGTTTATGTACGTTCCTGGTGGGCAAACTGATCAAAAACTTATATTGATATTGATCAAACACTTCTGTACATTTTATTGGCCGGGAGTAAAATTACCCTCACAAAAATGGCTCAACGTGAATGTCAAATGATTGAATACTGGGTTAACATAATGAAAGAGATCTATGTACTGGAGAAACTGTCGATTCTGTCAAAGTGCAGAAGGATACTTTCTACAAGATATGGTCAAAGTGGATAGATTATGTCAAGCCTGATAGTCCTGAGTTTTTGTAAACCTTACTGTCATTCAGATTGATGCTATGATTTGAAATGTAATTGCAATGATTGAATAATGTACAGGCTGCCCCTTCAACCCCATCCAGGGTCTGGTTTTTGTTTTGTTTGTTTATTTTTTCTTGGGGAAAAAAAGAGTAAAAAATGACAACAAAAGCAATATAATTATATTATTGCAGTGTAATGTCCTTTTCCAATAGAAAGGTTAATTAAAAAAAAGAATACAAAGAAGCATCTTTAATTCACACCTCCATAATTCATACTTAGCTATTTGACAACTTTAAGGATGCAGTCCTGATAAATCAAACAGTTGTATCAAAAAACTGAACAAGTGGTGTGAAATGAAGAAACAGGCCAGGACAAGCATCTGATGTCTCAGAGGTATTTGGAGATAAGACTGAATAAACAGGATGTTCTGAGCCTGTTGTGAAATCCATCAAAAGTACCTGACCTTATCACTCATATGTGCTTTACTCATGGGGTGTGTGAGTGTTCGCCAGGCGTCTAACACACACACATGCAACAATTCAACAAAGTGCAATTGGAACAACAGCGAGAGCCCCACGCCTGTGCCTTTGGCAATTGTCTACAGGCTGATGACTGATTCCATGGCCAGTCCAAACAATAACACCACTGTACAAACCCTGTTTGTGTTTGCCTATTACCTAAGTACACTCCCCTCCCCCCATAACCTTCTGTTTTATCTTGTTATTTCAAAACTGTTTGTTTTAGCTGGGGAATGAATAGTCAATGTCATGCTCTTAAACCCTTATGACGGCGTCTTTGTCACGACGGAGCCACTCCTTCGCAAAACATAAATAAAGAAATAAACTTTACGGCCAAACAGGCCCGACTGCCAATCGAGTAACACAGTTTCATGATGATGAGTTCACAGGCAGTTTAGGAACAATAAGCTTCTTTGATAAAGGAAGCCAATCACAGGTAAAGTGTGGATCGTCCCTTTCTTAGGTGATAATCAGCAGTGGGTTTAAAAAGCTAAAGTGATTTAAGACAATAGGAGAAGTTGCATAAGATCTACTGAATTATTTGTAAGAACTCAGAATATAGTAAAATAGTAAATTATTAACTGGAGATTTTCTGAAGGTGATTTCCTGTCAGTGAAATCATGTGGTTTCTTTTAGAAGTCATCCACTGCTCTCTGGACTTATGCAAATTTTGACAGGAATTGTGAAAAAGGAAATAATTAGTGGCAGGTCACACGAGTTACACACTTATAAGTTCACATGCGGAGCCTTGCAAAAGTTTTCACACTACAATGAGTTTTTCTTCTTTTCATATTTATCACGAGTACCACAAGCTCTGATGCGGTTTACTGAGATTTTATTTCAAATTTTTGAACATCTAGACCAGGGGGGGGCAATCCTGGTCCTCGAGGGCCGGTGTTCTGCAACTCTTAGACGTCTCCCTGGTCCAACACACCTGGATCCAACAGCTGAATCACCTCCTCAGTTCAGTCAGGTTCTCCAGAATCCTGCTAAAAACCTCATTATTTGACTCAGGTGTGTAGAAGTAGAGACGCATCTAATAGTTGCAGGAGGCCCTCCAGGCCTGGAGCTGCCCACCCCTGATCTAGAGACTTAAATCAAGATCAGTCAGACTGACTGAGAGCTTTTATGAACAATTTTAAAGTCTTGTCATAAATTCTTAATTGGAGTTAAGTCTGGACTTTGACTAGGCAATAGTGACCCATGAAAACATGCTGATCTAAGCCATCCATTATAGCTCTACAGTACGGATGTCGCGCTGGAAAATAAAGCTCTTCAAGTTTCGAGGACTACCCATCTAACTTAAAAAATAGGATCCCCACAGCATGATACAGCCATTGCCATTTGTCACTGTGGTTATGGTGTCCTCCAGGTGACATGCAGCATTAGGTTTTATTTGTCACCCATTGCATTTTATACTACAGTTTTGTTCCCATCTGACCAGTGCCCCTAACTACATGTTTGTGTAACTTGAAACAAAATTTTCACCAAATGTATTCCTGCTGTGATTCTGCACACTCACAAATATGGTGTGTGGAAATTAAATTGTACACAGAAGAGATCGTCTGTAACACTTGCTTCTCCAAAGAAATAAAAAGAAATAAATAATTAAAGCTGCAAGCAGCCTCGAATGGCCCTCGGAGGTCAGATATCTCTGCTGCTCCAGGTTTTCCACAACGATGCAGCAGCAGAGCGGG